CGTCTCTACTAAAAATACAAAAAAAAAAAAAAGTTGGATGAGGTGGCGGGCGCCTGTACTCCCAGCTACTCTGGGTGGCTGAGGCAGGAGAATCACTTGAACCCAGGAGGCAGAGGTTGCAGTGAGCCAAGATCGTGCCTCTGCCACTCCAGCCTGGGGTGAGCACAGTAAGACTCTGTCTCAAAAAAAAAAAAAAAAAGAAAAGAAAAGAAAAAAAAATCTGAGCATAAGTAACTGTTAAAAGTTAAACCAGTTTCTCTACTGCAGAAAACAAAACTGTTAGTTCTATGACCACAAGAACTTTGTCTGTCTTGTTCACTGCTATCAACCAAGGCTTGGCACAGTAGATTACTAACTACTATAAATACTATTATTCTAATAAAAAAAATCTATAAATTGTATATAGTCCAAGCTGGGTGTGGTGGCTCACACATGTAATCCCAGCGCTTTGGGAAGCTGAGGGAGGTGATCATTTGAGGTCAGGAGTTCGAGATCCAGCCTGGCCAACATGGTGAAACCCCATCTCCTTACTAAAAATTACAAAAAAAATTACCTGCGGCATGGTAGCGCACACTGTAATCTCAGCTACTCGGGAGGCTGAGGCAGGAGAATTGGTATGAACCCAGGGAGGGGGAAGTTGCCAGTGAGGCCAAAATGCCACCACTGGCTCCAGCCTAGGTGACAGAGTGAAACTCTGTCTTTAAAAAAAAAAAAAAACATTTTATACTGTATTTTTAAATTACGTTTAATCCTATATCTTCTACCAACTGATTGGAGTGCTGTATTAAACGTCATTCATTTCATTCAAATATTGTGGATATGTACTATTTTCCAGGACTTATATTTAGCAATGGGGAATGATAGCAATGGACAAAACAAAACCATCCTTGCTCTAATGAGAGGAACTGAACACACATCACACACACACACAAAGGTGCCTAAGCAGTGATATGCCGCACCTAAAGTATGGAATATAAAACGTCATAATAAGACTTTAGTTGATAATAGGAAGATGGGAGTAATATTTTATAATAGGGTGGTCATGCAACGGCTCTCTCTGTTTTAGGATGATGTTCAATGAGCAAGGCTGAGCCAAGGCCAAGTACACCTAAACGATTACTACTATCAGTACCAATGCAACCAGTAAATCAAAGACCTGAGGAGGGAGAGCCCACTAAGGATATGAGAAGATAAGGAGGCCACCACGGTGGGGAGAAGGAAGCAAAAGGAAAGCCATAACAGAACAGCTTGCAATGTGATCCATAATCATCTATAACCAATGTAACAGGGTACCCTAACAATTAATGAGTATTTCAACATGGATAATTTTTAAACTAATTATGTGGACAGGGGTGTAGAAAATTTTAGAAAAAATCAAATTCTTACCTTTGCACAAAATTTCTCTGGTTTTGGTATTTTCCCTTGTATATAACAAAAACTTCTGGATTGTTCCGAATAAATGCAAACAAAACCCTGAAGTACAAGGTATTATTCTACAAGTTAAAAATACTACACATTACAAGAACTTTAATATCCATGAGTCTCATGTATGATACAACACCGACTTCCTTACAGAAAGCAGTGTCCTGCTCAGAAGATGTGAATATCTTTTGGACAAGTCTGCTGAGATATCCTTTGGACAAGACATCGAATGGAGCACTAGTGTTCAATTCTAAGAGTTACAAGTTAAGAGGAATGCAAACAAGTGTAATTCTAATTTTCTAATCATGTCCCTTTCTCTCTTACCTGACAATAACTTAGTACAGTATAAAAGAATTTAACTGCTCCCATATATGCCACAGTACCTATCACAGGTTAAGTCAAGACTTTTTTTTGGCTGGGCACAGTGGCTCACGCTGTAATCCCAGCACTTTGGGAGGCCAAGCACTTTAGGAGGCTAAGGCAGGCAGATTACCTGAGGTCAGGAGTTCAGGACCAGCCTGGCCAACATGTCTCTACTAAAAATACAAAAATTAGCTGGGCATGGTGGCAAGTGCCTGTAATCGCAGCTACTTGGGAGGTTGAGGCAGAATCACTTGAACCCAGGAGGCGGAGGTTACAGTTAGCCAAGACTGTGCCCCTACACTCCAGCCTGGCCAACAGAGGGAAACTCTGTCTCAAAAAAAAAAAAAACATATTTTTCACACTAGTGTTTTTGGTTTCTAAATGCTAATTTATAAATAAGAATAGAAATAAAAAAGTTTCAATTAATAAAACATATCTATATTAGAGATGAAAGAATTACAGAGGGTTCTTATATTGGGGAGGAAGCCAGACGATAAGCAAAATAAAACCAAATTTCTTAGAAGGAATTTTAAAAAACAGGTTTTAATTTTTTTTAATAAAACAAAAAAGAAATATTGAGAAAACAAGTCTTAAAAAAAAATTTTATACTCTATTTTTTTAATGTGCGTTTGAAAAATAAAGAACTTGCCTACAGTTATGTAAGCAATTAAAATAAAACGAATAAAACTGCAGCATTAAGCAAGCTGCATGTACACACGCCCACTCCCATTAGTAAAACTGGAAATGGGAAACTAATGAGCTCAGCTGCAGGAGCTTGTTTTTTAATTTTCTCCACTTGCTCAAAATGTAATTTCTATTTTACACTGAAGACTTTTGTTGGATATAGGGGGAATCAAATGTTCTTAAACAAGAATCTGAATGAGCTTTGAAAATGCATAATAGAAGCTTCATTTGTTCTAATGCACATCTCATGTATTCTGTTTAACATTTTTGACAGGTTGATCATTCGTCTTCATGTTTAAAGAACACAAATGTTTTACCAGTGCCATTAAACAGATCACGTTGGGGTGAAAAGAAGGTGTCAGAGAAGGGAAAAGGTCCATCTCTTCTCTCAAGGTGCCTAAGCAAATGGGAGGGGAAAAACATACTTAGGTACTTGACCATGATATGTGAAGTTGTAATTCATTATGAAAGGAGAAATAAAGTAAAGCTCACTAATAGACATTTTATTAGGAAAGTTATTATTTGGAATAAAGAAATAAGTTATTTGAAAACTAAAAAAGGTTCTAAATATTGAGATGACTATGGGAAAAAAAAAAACAAAAAACCCTCAAGGCTTAAAAAAAAAGAAGTTAAACGGGTTATACAGAGAATGGATAAAGTAGCAAAGGTGACAAAATTAATGTCTCTTAAAAATCAGTTCATCATGCAAAGCAAGGAGCCAGATATCTAGAATACAAATATATTAGTATTCATTTTTGGTTTTGACTATATTTAGTACTGTTTGTTTTGCTCTGATTTGAGCTTGAATTTAATTAAACACAAAAAATTTATGAGAAATATTTTCATCAAATTCAACTGCAATTCTGGTTTAATTTTTAAAATATGTTCAGGTTTAGGTCTTACTTAAGAAAGAATATAAACTGGATTCCATGATAACAAATACTGCTGTAAGGGAAATCGCTAATAAAAAGTGCCAGACACCAGTTCAAAATCTAATAAATATTTATGACTTAATGCATGCTATCAAAAATAATCAAATAAAACTCTAACAACAAAAGAACTAGAAAGTCCATTTGAATTTAATTTACAGGTCATGATCTAGAATTCAGACAAGTTGTTAGTGGCTAGGATATATAAACATTTTAGCAGGATTTTTTTAGCTCAACTAGAGTTAAAATTTGGAGACAAACCTACTAACACAATTTTAAAATACTTGTTCTGTTTACACTACAAATTTTTATTTGAAATAATAATATACCAGACATCCAGCACTACCTAAAACAAACTGTGTCAGCAAGTGAACTTGTTTTTCCTCTCAAATGCACTCCACTTCCATTAATGATGGCACTTATTAGGAGAGGTCTCTAGTCTTAAAAAACCTCAGTATCATTCGACTCTTCCTTTTCTCCCCCTCAACCTGTCCATTCCTAATTAATTGCTAAGTCCTAATATCCTTGACGTTTATACACTTCACTCCAGTCTTGTTATGAAGACCTTAGCTTCAACATTACACTTATTAGTCTCTTGCCATTGCACCCAAACTGGTTTCCCTGTCTCTCATTTCAATTATCTTAAAACCTCTTGCCAGATTAAAGCTCTAAAGAACAGATTATGTCACTCCCATCTCAAAAACTTCTAAGGTAGTCCTGCTGAATATAGAATGCAGATGTTCATACTCATTAGCCCATCATTCAAAGTTCTTCTCAATACGGCATCAATCTACCTTTCCAACATCATATCCCATTATTCTCTTCTATGTCAATGTAAGGGTACCATTCCTCACAGTCAAAGAGAGCTGATTAATATTTCTTGTACCTGGCCTATGATTTCTGACTTAGTGTTTATGATTAATTCACTCCTTCTTCTTAAAATAATATTCTCCTCAATCAATTCATCCAATTACTGTTACTTTACGTTTAAATGTTACCTCTTTTATGATGCCTTCCCTGATTCCCCACCTACGTGTAAACTCCACCTCCACTGAACATCCCTAGCACGTTTTAAATTTATTATATAATACCTTACACTTTATAACATAGCTCCTTATTTAGTGATCTTAACTTTCTTATTCGATTTCTTAAGGAGAAAATATCCATAAGCAGAAAACTTCTTAAGAGAAATTACCTCGAGAGCCATGCATATGGTCAACATTCATACATACGTTTAACACTTTTAAATAAATGGGCATACATATTATATTGATAAACAGGGATGAAAGCCAATAAAACAGTATGATGATAATATACTGAGTGGATAATACATTTCACTAATTGGGAGCTAGACTTTGATCTAAATTTTAAAAACTGGTATTATAAAGTAACTAGGTTTTCAAATCATATTAGATTACCAGTATTAATGCCAAAGTAGGAAAAAAAAAAAAAAAAATCAAACCCATAGGTTCTTGTAACTCAAACTCAAATACCAGGACATACTATTTATTCCACATATATATGAACAATTTTGTTTCCTAACTAAGCAAAGTTCACAAGAAAGTTGTCGACAAGATATTGAAATAATAGGAATTCTCTTACTTTGAGAAACCCTTGGAAATCTTTTACCCAGCTTCTTCCTTAATCGATTAAGTTCAGGCATTATTTCTGGAACAGCTACATAAAAGTCTACAACAATTTCATCATCCCAAATCTGAAAATAAAAAAAAAAGAAAGGTGACCTCAGATGAGATGAAAAGCTTTATCGTTCTGAAAAAGTACAACGTAGTCATTTCCTTTATAATTCAGAAAACAGACATTAAGCACAATTATTTTCTTCAAACACAAGGATCATACAAATACACCTGCCAATTATAAAAACCATCAGAAGCAAAACATTTTCCTTTACTTTAAAAACAGTCACATCCATTAAAAAAAAAAAAATTAATGGTTTCTTCCTTTGGGTTGTGTTAGGCAAAAGTGTCACAAGTTAAAACACAGCAATGAATGTGTGCATGGCTCACAGAATCCCACAAAGTTAAATTCATATATTTATTAAAACTGAAGAAACCTACAAAAGCTGAAAATTTTGCAACAGATCACATGTAAAATTAATAACCGCTAACTGCCAAACTCACTAGCAACCACTAGCTTCCTAAATTTAGAGCATCAGAGAACTGAATTTATAATTATTTTCACAAAGAACTGAAACTAAAAATTTCCTTACCACCAATAACTAAGAATAAAAGAAGAGGGGGTGATCAAAGACGAGTTCATTTATAGTTTATTATCCATACTCTATATCCATTCTCAGAACAAAGGAATTAATATTCAATTTTTAGAAAACATTTTTATTAATTCAGGCAAGCGCCTAAAATAACTATTATACTAGTACAATATATTCCACTTAAACTCCACTTAATATACTTCACTTAAATATACAATATACTCCACTTAAACTCCACACCTGTAATCCCAGCACTTTGGGAGGTCAAGACAGGCAAATCAATTGAGCTCAGGAGTTTGAAATTAGCTTGGGCAATAAGGCGAAACCCCGTCTCTACAAAAAATACAAAAATTAGCCGGGCGTGGTAGCACACATCTGTAGTCCCAGGTAACCGGAAGCTGAGGTGAGAGGACAGCTTGAAGCCAGGAAGGCAGAGGTTGCAGTAAGCCAAGATCGTGCCACTGCCTGAGCAAGAAATATTTTATCAATGATTCTCTTTGTATGAAATCTTACCACAATATGCCATTCAAAGCCTTGATTTAGGGGTACACAGTGAATTAAAAACTTGAATTCTGACAAAATTAAGCAATGACTATGGAATTTTATCCTTCTGTTACTATTCTTTGTACAAATTTTTAGTCCTTAATTAACATACTCTCCTCTCCTTAACAGTAACTTACATTAAATGGGCACTTCTCATGTGCCAAGCATTCTGCTAAACGTTTAATATAATTTAGAACATCCAGTCTTCACCACAACCCTTAAGACAGGTACCAATATTGACCACACATTCCAGATTAAAAAAACTGAGGGCTCAGGGGAGGATGAGTCAGTCTGTACACACCTAAGAGGCAGAGCTAGAACTGAAATACAGGCAGTGTGGGTCCAGAACCAGGGCTCTCATCACTGGAAATAGGAAAGCAGAGGTAATTTCTAAATGTCAAAGAACTGTATGTGAGATTTCTATTCCAAGACTTTCCAATCCTAATTCTATGACATGTTCCTTTAAATTAAAATTATGTTTGGAAGTTAAGCTGTAAGTAAGATTATATCTTGGAATATTAAAAAATGGTAGCTGGAAATCATGCTCTTAGAGACGAGTAAAAATATGAATTACTTTAAAATCACTCAGAACCAGGCATATCTGTGATGTTTCAAAATAAAGTGAAATAAATTTAATAAATGAATGTATTATCTAAGAAATTACTATGTGGCACGGTGGCTCACACCTGTAATCCCAGCACTTCGGGAGGCTGAGACAGGTTGGATCGCCTGAGGTCAGGAGTTCGAGACCAGTGAGCCGAGACTGCGCCATTGCACTCCAGCCTGGGCAACAAGAGTGAAACTCCATCGCAAAAAGAAAAAAGAAAAGAAAAGAAAACAAATGACTATGTATATTTATCCTACTTGGCATTTTACAGAGCTAAGTAAAATGATACTTTAAAAACACAGGAATGTATAAAAAATTGCAGCCATAGTATTATTTACAAAACTGTATTAAATTTACTTCATAACCTGAATACCTTCTAAAAATAACATGGACTAGCTTTAAAAAGTCACCATGGGGTAACTTGCAAACTTATTCTATGATGCCGTACACAGGTGGCATGCTCTCTCTATTAACAGACCCTCTACTGGGGCCCTAAAGAGAAATTCTGTACCTGTTAATATTTTCAATACTACAGAATTTTAAAATGTCTTTGTCTTCCTTATTTGGGTTACTTTAAAAAATGTGTTTCATTTACTGAACTTACAGCTTCATCACTTTCTGCTCCATTACCATTTCTTTCTTGAGAAGAAAGAACTCCTTGCTTAACATTTAAGAACCAAAGGCCAGGTGTGGTGGCTTGGCTGGGAGCAGTGGCTCACGCCTATAATCCCAACACTTTGGGAGGCTGGGGTGGGCAGATCAGTTGAGGCCAGGAGTTCGAGACCAGCCTGGCCAATGTGGCAAAACTCCGTCTCTACTAAAAATACAAACATTAGCTGGGCATGCTGGCAGGCACCTGTAATCTCAGCTACTAGGGAGGCTGAGGCAGGAGAATCACTTGAACTCAGGAGGCAGAGGTTGCAGTGAGCCAAGATCACCCCACTGCACTCCAGCCTGGGTGATGAAACGACACTCTGTCTCAAAAAAAAAAAAAAAAAAAAAAAAAAGAACCAGAGGAGTGGCTATGACAGTTCTACAAGGTAACTTTTGTGGTTGCAAGAAGAAAATAGAAAGCTGTATACAAACTCAAGATTAGTTCTCTGATTCTAGACACCCAGCTCTATTCTCAAATTCCCAAACATTTGTGATGATTATTTTTTAATAATTAAAAAAGTTTTAATAATTTTTTAATTAAAATTAATAATACATCAGAAAGAACTGGGTACCACAGACTTTGGCCTAGAACCTGTATTAAAGCATACTCTTCCTACTTTCCACTAGTTCTGCAACCAAAAATCACTCTGAAGACCCTCTTTAAAAATCCAGAATCCTCACCAAATTTAGAGTACTTTTAGGGGAGGAAAAAAAAAAATTTGAGCACTGCTGTATATCTCAAAGGATGTGTCCAGTTAAAAGTTCCCCAAATGAAAATTTGAATATGGGACAAAGGATAAATTTTCAAGTCACTATTTCCTATCTACTTCCTCCTCCCCAGAAAAAATTCCATAACATATAGGAATGATTCTGATTTTTGCACATTGATTTTGTATCCTGAGACTGCTGAAGTTGCTTATCAGCTTAAGGAGATTCCGGGCTGAGACGATGGGGTTTTCTAAATACACAATCATGTCATCTGCAAACAGGGACAATTTAACTTCCTCTTCTCCTAACTGAATACCCTTTATTTCTTTATCCTGCCTGATTGCCCTGGCCAGAACTTCTGCCCTGGCCAGAACACTATGTTGAATAGGAGTGGTGAAAGAGGGCATCCCTGTCTTGTGCCAGTTTTCAAAGGGAATGCTTCCAGGTTTTGCCCATTCAGTATGATATTGGCTGTAGGTTTGTCATAAATAGCTCTTATTATTTTGAGATACATCCCACGAATACCTAGTTTATTGAGAGATTTTAGCATGAAGCACTGTTGAATTTTGTCAAAGGCCTTTTCTGCATCTATTGAGATAATCATGTGGTTTTTGTCTTTGGTTCTCTTTATATGCTGGATTACGTTTATTGATTTGCGTATGTTGAACCAGCCTTGCATCCCAGGGATGAAGCCCACTTGGGGTTACATCACACATCCATGTTACCCAGGCGAGAGAATACCAACCTACCCCACACAGAGAATCTAGCTGAGTCAAGACCACCCTCTACACGAGTCAATAATAAACTAAGAAAATCTGGAACAGAAATGGATAATTTAGACACATTGAACCAAAACCATAGAATACACCCACTCCCAAGCCACAAAAACACCAAGATCATTGAATCCCTGAAATATTGAACCAAAATAATACTTTAATTGCGTACTCTTGAAAGGAGAAGACCCCACTAAGTCCTTATATACAGGTGCGCATGTCGAACCTACATCAATTACAAACCTGACCTCATACGAGACCAGATCGACATCATCACAGCCGAATTCTGCCAGAGCGTCATAACGGCGCTATGGTACGTTTGAGATTCGCTCCTGTGTCGCGTCACAATTACAACTTCTCGGAGTCGAAGTGAGGTAGTAACTGAAAGGTAGAGCGCGGGACAGATCGCACCTATCCTATCAGAACATTTTATGAGGACACAGCAATCTAATCATCCTGAGTACCTCAAAGCTGTGCAGAGACACAATCAACGAGAAGATACAACGAGACTAGCATTTTGTAAGACCGGAATATCCCCCTTGCATTTCGTATATCATATCAAGAATATGATGCATCACTAACCAATAAAATACTGGCAAAGAGAATCCACGCAGCACATCCAAAAAGTATCCCACCATGAATCAAGTG